AGCTGGGGGCGATGCCTACCTGGCACAGCACAGCCAAGCGAAGGTGCTATCGCAGCTTTGGTAACAAAACCAGCCTAACCATGGGCTTTGGCAGGGATGTGCTCTACCTCGTGCAGTTTTCATGCTGGTTGTTTTCCACCTCCAGGAGAGACCATGAACACTGGCCCTTGCTACTGGAAATGATGCTGTCAAGTTTCCCGCATTTCGGTGAATCGGAAGGGTCAGCATGCCCAGGGTGCAAGGAACGGACAGGAAAACCCAACCGTATGTTTCCCTTGGCAGGAAATAGTGTTACCACCAGCTCCGGCATTAAACCAAAAAATGTGTTAGTGCATGACAAACAGCTCGCTTCTTCACTGTCCAGAAATGTCATTAATTGGAGCCCCTGGGTAGCACTAAATTACGTTGCAGGTTGAAACTGCTTATCTATAATCAGGGAACAAAATAAAACTTGTTTAATGGTACAGCCGTGCAGCAAACAACAACAACAAAAAGGCCGAAAGGCCAGTGTAACCATGCTAGCAATGCAGGTAACAGCAGCGTGACCCATACTTTGGCCGCGCGCGCCGGTGGGCACGGAGCACGCCAAGTCAGTGCTGAACGCGGAGACTTCGCGGGGCGCCTCCGTGCTCGCACTCGCTAGATGACGGGCACCAACAGCCCCATGAGCAGCTCTGGGGACCACATCTTAGCTCTTAACCACGGGCTAGGAGTATTTATTGTATTTACTCCTATTTTCTTTTCCCGGTCCCGAGACTGTGGATTTCCTTTATATAGAGAAAAAAGTCATGGCAGCGGAAGGGCTGGACAGGCACTCGTGTCTTGCCACCCTGTCCACAGGGGAGTGAGACCTTGAGGAAATCAGTGCATTGGTCACATCGTCCCTCAAAAATAACCTGCAGGATGAGGGCCGTGTTAAGGCAGGCGGTGATGTGCTTACGGCTCCCCTTGAAGGGAAGAGAGATGGACAGAGAGGTCCCCTCCGCCCACCAACCTGACGTGCCTCTGCACATGTGAAGACACAGAGGGAAAAAGCAGTATAGAAAACAGAGGTGTTTGTTTGCAGAATAAAACTGAAGTATTTTAGGTCAGTAAGGCAATGAGTGAGGAAGGATTTTTTTTATTTTTATTTTTTTTTGCAATTGCACTAACAGTGCCATTTTGCCTAAGTCGCTCTGCCCCGATCCTGGGCATCGGGCCTGTGAGGCTTTGCAAAACTGCAAATAGCAAATAGTTGGCAAGTGGAGGGCACCTTCTGTGCCATAAGACTGGTCTTTCTGTCACAAGAAAAGCAGCAGGCAGGTTGCCGGGTGTTAAAATACAGCAAATTGCAGTTCTCAATGTTTATCCAGCTTCCAAACAGAAGACAAAGGGCTAGCGGGACAGCACGAGGTCTTGGAGAGCAATTTCACTTCAAGGTGTCCTGAAAGACTTTCAGCTCAAGAACTGCAGTTTTGCTGCTCAGGAATGACAGATGGTGGGAAAGCTATCGAGCGTCCAGGTCAGCAGGCATCAAAGCGACATTGAAATGACCGGGGCAGTATGGCTCAGTAAAGCTCTGCTCAGCCCATGGGTTTCTGCAGGAGAGCTCGCTCGCGAGGACTGGGAAGGAGCCTCATGAGCAAGGATCGGCGGAGATAACCACAGCGGCCACTTCCCGTTCTGCAAAGGCCTTATTTGCTCAGACCTGCTGCTCTCTTCGCTCTTTTTGCAGTGTTTTGCAGTGACTGTGATCGAGCATCAACCCAGCCTCATATAAAACCTGTATTAAAAAGAAAAAAAAATCGCTGTCTGTAGTAGGAAGGGAGAGTCTTCAGTGGCTGAGCTGGCCTATTTCCAAGCATTGCCGATCTGCATTGGTGCCGTTGCTAGCGAAAGCCCATGGATCTAACACCGCTTTTGGTTACACCTGGAATAAGCCTGCAGCAAGTCATTGGGTTTGTTTCAAGGTAGACTAGTTTAGAAAGTCACAAATGTGATTTTTATTTTTATTTTTATTTTTTTTTGGCCCTGATTGTACAGCTCTAGGGACAATCGCACCCATTTACAGGAGACTACGGACAGCTGTTGTGCAGGTACAAGGAGCCCCGGCTCTGCTGAGTAGATGACTTCTCCACTTGGCATGACCACTTGAAACAAACTTTGGTGTAGGCACAAGCCCTCCGTACTTTCCAATTTCCCAAGAACCTGCAAAGGCTTGTATGTGCGCACACCCCCACACCCCCACCCCCACCCATAAAAGTGAGCTAAAAAGAGAGGCAAATATACCGATATATCCTTTTATTTCCCCAGATGATGAGCATAAACGCTCTTTATTATCTGCTCCGAGGTTGATTTGTAACACAGTTTTTCTTCCGTTGACTTCCTGGGGGAACACAGGCGGACCAGCCAACGAGGTACCACTCAGTCTCTTGGCATCTACCTTCACAAAGGTTATATATAGGCCATTTAGGCACATGGTTTATTCTGAAAAAAAAAAAAATCTCAGCAGCTGCCTAAATCCTACCAAAAATGTGTAGCTTTTTTCTCTCCCGATGGGTTTAAAGCTAGCCAGTCACTAGCTGAGCTGAAGATCTTAAGGCTCTCTGCTACTACAGCAGCGGGGCAAGGAAGAGAATGAGCTGCATGTCAAGAGCTGCGTGTACACATCCATCATCACCGCTCTAAATCCGATCAGCAACTTTTTTCTCCGACAGGTCAGCAGAAGAAGCAGGGAGGTCGCCACCACTGGACAGAAACTCAACTAGATGTCCAAGACCAGAGCTCCTCCTCAAGCACGAATGGTTTCTTTAGGAGGCGATCGCTTCTGCAAGGGCTTGACTTTGCGTGGCGTGGCGGCCAGAGAGCTGCTGGAGGGCGGCTAGTTTGGCTCTGAAATGAGAAGCCGCAAACTTTCGCAAGGACGAATGGGGCCTTGAGGGAGCTAAAAAAAGGAAAAGGACGTGAACGTTAAGTGCATTCAAGAAATAACATGTACTGCTTTTCCGTAGCAAAGGTAACAGAGAGTCAGCAAAGGTAAAAGCGATGCAGGCGGACAAGCGCACTTTTACAGTTTGTACTTGCAGCCTTGGGGAGAGGATATTAGGGCTTAACCAGCTACTCTCCTTCCTTAGCCACTGGAGCACTGCGAATCCCTGAGCGAGCAGTGCTCAGACGCGCTCGCCAAAAATCACTTATTCTCTGTGCCTCCCCATCAACGTGCAAGTCTAGTTCATTCTTTAGGAGCGCAGCACAGCTGGGGCATTACATGCTTTGGAGGCTGCTGAGTTGGTGCTGTATTTAGTGCAAAACCTGGTACTGCGTCTCGGATACAAAATAATACGGAATTAGTAATGTTTGGGCTAGACCGGGATCTGTAATCCCAGCCCCATCAGGCGGCTGCAAAGCACAATGCCTTAGAAAGGACAAGCTCGTCCTTGCAATACCCTGGCTACCCACACGGATAAACCAGAGATGGCTTTGACGTGCAGGGCGGTCGCTCGTACGACGTTTGTATCGTCTCACAAACCTATTAGCCTGAAAGCTTTAGAGATTATGTTATAATGCCCCGAATGGAGCCGGGACCTGATTCCGGTCATGGAGGGTGAAGGCTGTAGCCTCCATTCCCATGTATTTTGCCTAATTTGCTATAGCAAAAGCTCAGCTCGGCAACTGCCCTCTCGGCTGAAGGGGTATCCACACCGCCAAAGCAGGTGATGGGGGTTTCTTCCCCTTCCCCTCTTTGCCCCGCTGCTTCCTTCGCCCCGGGTTGGGGGGGGACCCCGGCGTGGTCCACATCGTCTGCCCAGCCAGCCG